AAAATGCCTACAAACTTGGGGGCTCATGGTCCCTTCTTCTTTGGCTCAGTAACTTACTACAACAACCTAAAATCCCAGGAAAGTGCTTTTCTCACAGTAGCAGCTTTTTATATAAAAACTACTGTTCAGAAACAGCCAGATACAAGTGGGGAGGGCTCCCATCCCCCCTGCGCAATGCCCCACTCCCAGCACCATCCAGCACCTCCAAGCACTTAAATGTGTCCACCAACCCCAAAATGGAGACCTTTCCATGGCGCTTTTGCCACTTGGGTGTGATTGTGACCACTGGTGACTGAGCCTCCAGCTCCTTTGCCTCCTCAGAGACTAGGGAGCAGGTTGGAAAGTACCAAACTTCTCCTGGAGACACGCGGTCTTTCTGTGGCCCTGGCAAGAGTCCCTCTTTAGAAGAAAGATGTTCCCATCCCCTTTACTGTTCAGCAAATATGTTAAGGGTTTTAGGAACTGGTTATCATTGTTGCTATCACTAGCATCTAACAGTCACTTAATAAAAGATTACATCTGTTGAGGATACATTTAGATGCAAATTGGAGCATCCCCAATACTGGCTTTAAAGAAAAGTGTGTTTCTTGTTTTGTTTTTTGCAAGCAGGAAGTAGGAACTGGATTTTTGCTGATGTTGATTCTAAAGTTAAACCAAAGCAGAACTCTGGAGCAGGACTTTATTCTCCTAGATGCAACTTTTCCTCACATGGTGAGAGTCCCAGAAACTCACAAATCAGCCAGAAAATAAGCCGTAGGCAAGATCAGGCAGTTTCGCTTTCTTTCTTCCCCTTAGAGAAGGAAGACACTCACAGAAGCCCCACTATCCTTTTCATTATAAGTTGATTCTAACAATTACTTATCTCCTGGCCAAAGCATGCTACATACTTTTCTAGGTGTGTGAGGCAGATGAATGAAAAAAACCAAGATCTCTGTTCTCATAATGCCAACATTCCAACAGGCATGCAGAGGTGACAAATACATAAGCAATAAATAAGTTAATTATAAGTTGTGCTAAAAAAATTGGCAAGTGCTATGCAACCGAGAAGAAGAAAACATGCCCACAAGAACATGGTAGTAGAAAAAAAAAAAAAGATGGAAACTTAATTCAGGGACCGGGGAAGATTCATGAAGGGAATTCTTGAAGCAAGTCTTAAAGGGGGTAGGAATTATTTGAGGGAACCCATTCCAGACAGAATAGCCAGCACTAAGGTCCCAGATGTTCTGAGCCCAGCTGGAAGCCAGGGAAGCTGGAAAGGTGGTCGAGAAGGACTCTGATGAGAACCGGAGGGGACTGGCAGAAATGAAAGGGACCTGATCACTGGGGCCACACAGGCAAGGGCTCGCCTTTCGTCTCATTTCCCAGCCCTTCCCAGCCCATCAGGCACGGTGTGCTCAGCATCCTGCCCCTTGATGGCTGCACACAGGCAGGACCTGCTAACAAAGAAGGGGGTGGAGCTGAAGAGAGCCAGGTGAGGGAAAATTGCAGGACAGTGACAGAGTGACATCAGAACCAAACAAGTGGATGAAACGCTCCCAACACCACCAACGTAAGTAACTTCAGGGGTATCATAGTCACCGAAGCTGCTTTTCAGAACAACATCTTTCCCTCTTTTATTAAATTTCAATTAGCATAGAAAAGAATGGATTTCATCATCAGATTTTCATATTTATAGCAAAACTTTACTATATTATTTAAAACTTCACAAGTACAGCCCAGGCAGCCACCACCACGATAAATGCAGACCTTGATTTTCCTCTGTCTTCCTGATTATCTGGCATCTGGGTATTTTTGCCTTAATCGCTAGTGCTCTGGCTTGTCAATGGATATGTGAGATTTGCTGAACCACAACATACACTTCTGTAAACTGACCAATAACCTTAAGCCATGTACCGCAATAACCTGTGCTCGGATCCAGCTGTATGTGTGTGCATCCTGGCTTAACAATTCCATGCCTCCATTTCTCCATCTGGGCACATACGAACAATAACAACAGTAGCACCTAATTCTAGAATGTGGGTGTGGTAATTAATACATCAAAACCACTGAAGACAACAGCATTCCCACCGTGTATTTATTAATTAGCTATACTGAAGTAGGTTGCTGTGTTATCTAAAGATCCATCATGTTGCCTCAGCTGCCGCAGCAAAAACATACCCATCTATGTAAACTGAAGCATCCGGTCCCTGAACCTCGATTTGTGGGGAATCCTTGGGCTCCGCCTTACACTAGCACTCTATAGATGAGTTACTCTGCAGCTCTCATAACTCTGGGGATGTGCTCACCACTTTTTTTTAAGATGATGGGAATTGATTTTTACCTTTAATTTTTGCTTACAAATAATTCATCTGCTGTGAGGAAAAATAACAAGCTCCAAAGGGAAGCTTCCTACTCTGCCTTGAGTCAAAGGATAAGAGTTATCTGGCACCAGTGAACTTAATGAGAAACAACCTTCTGGTCATAATTTCAAGTTAGACTCTTTTCTTATTAAATCACATTAATTGTTCCTATTAATAGGGTAGTTGTGCTATTTCCGTGTATGTGAACTGTGTGCACTGATCAAACCCCTCCCCCTATTCTCCTCCCTCCCTGCCATGTATATATTTTTCCAATCATTAATAATCACTCTTCAGGTCAAATTTGAGCTTCCACATTTGAGAAAAAAAGATGCTCTGATTGTCTTTCTGTGTCTGCTTTGTTATGCTAAATATAATGTCCTTTCTAGTACTTTCCATTTTGCTACAAATGGAACAATTTCTTTTCTTTTTTTCTCTCTCTCTTTTTTTATGGCTAACTAAAACTCCATCATGTGTATCGCCCATGTTCTTTATTCATTCATCTGTCAATACTCAGATACCTATGCTGATTCCTGACCTCCACTGTTGTGAATGGTGTCATAATAAACATGGGCATGAAGCATATCTTTAGCGTTCTAACTTCAGTTCCTGTGGATGTAATACTTAGAAGTGCGTTGCTGGTGCCACGATTGATCTTGACTGGAGTGAAGAATCACCTAGAAGACACAGCTCTCAGCATGCTGTGTCTCTGTGATGGTATTCCCAGAGGCCAGAGCTAAGGGAAGATCCCGTCTGACTGAGTGGGATCGGCCCGTGGGCTGGGGCCTGAAGGACTGAAAGTAAGGGAAATGGGAATAAAACATCATTCCCAGGGTGCCTGTCTCTCCCTCCCGAGTGTTGCTACAAGGTGTCCAGCCTTCTCCTGCTCCGGGCACCACATCTTCCCACCGTGATGGATTGAACCCTCAAATCATGAGCCAAAATAAATCCATCCCTTAAGCTGCCTTTGTCTCTGAACACAGTAATGGGAGAGGTAGACAATATGGTGACTCAATTTTCACTTCTTCTAATAACTTCCAGCATTTAGCTCCATAAGGGCTATACTAATTTATGTGCACAGCAACAGTGTGTAAGAGTTCTCTTTTCCTCCATATCCTCTCCACCATTCAGAGGTGAGTGAGAGACAGAGTGATAGCTCTCTACAGCCCAAGTTGCCTAGAGCCAATTTCTGGCAGTCCATTTGCAATGCCTCAGCCTCTCTTAAAGTGCCAAGGTACAGGTGTGTACACCTTTTTTATTTTAAATAATAGTATTCTAACTGGTATGAGATGATATCTCTCTTGGTTTTTATTTTGATTTCTAATTAAAATATGCTAATATCATTGGCCATAAGCTCTCCTGGGGCTCTATCTCTGCTCACTATGGTGTTCAACTTCAGGTCCAAGATCAGCATAGCTTCTTACTGTAGTAGTTTTTCAGGGAGAAGTGATTGAAACTCTACTAAAACTGATAAAATACAAACAAACAGTAACAAAAGGCAAAGGGGTGTATGTGGTGGGGAAGGGAAGTTGTTGGCTCTTCCAGATTGGAAGTCTGGGACATCTGGCTTTAAATATAGCTGACCTGGCTCGTCGTGTCATTAATTCTCTCTGCAAACTGCTTCCTTCTCTCAGACTAGCTTCGTTTAAGAAGGAAAAATATGTTGAGAAGCTCAAAGTAACTGATACTACAAGTCATGTGTGATTGTTGATAAAAAAAATGACATAGAAACTGATCCCTGTCTTTAAGAAACTGCATTATTTAGAGCCTAGAAAAATTGCTGCCACCACCACAGAGCCCTCTCTGATGGCATCAGCCCCTGGTGATCACTACTTTACCAAACACTGAAGTACTTACTTTCTGCATGTTCATCTTTGCAAAACGGCATGTGTAGCTTTACAGTTTTTAACTTTACATGTATGGAGATGTCTTAGTTAGGGTTTCCTGTTGCTGTGAAGAGACAGCATGACCACAGCAACTGATATAAAGTAAAACATTTAATTGGCATCGAGTAGGCAGGCATGGTGCTGGAGCAGAGAGTGCTACATCTGGATTCAGAGGCAACAGGAAGTTGACTGACTGTCACACTGAGGGAAGCTTGAGCAACAGAGATTTCAAAGCCTGCCCCCACAGTGACACACTTCCTCCAACAAGATCACACCTCCTAATAGTGACACTCCCTTTGGGGCCATTTTCTTTAAAATCACCACAGGAAATATGGGCACAAGGCGAATAGAGTAGTGCTCACCTACTGTCCCAGATACTGGGGAAGCCAAAGGCAGTGTAGTACTGTGAGTTTAAGATCAGCCTGGGAAACGTAGGAAACATAGAAAATGATCCAAACCATAAAAATATGAACATGTGCATTTTATATCCCCAAATCAATTGTTTTCAGAACACATTTTTAAAATGAATGAGAAGCATATGTAGATTCTATGTGATCACTTGTCACTGTAGCTTTCCCAAAATCTCCATTGCCTGTTGCACAAATGATACTGAAAGGAACTTTACTTCAGGCAAAGTGCACAAGACAGAAAAGAAAAGGCAACAAATTACTAGAAGGTAGAGACAGTCAGTAGGAATGGGTTAACAAAGCCACAAAACAGCTTTGAAAAATTCCAGACACGGGATGACCTGGGTCATGGATTCCCCAGAATGACTCACCAGTAAGAAAGACACCTGGACACCTCCGTGGGTGAGGGGACAGGGGTTTCAACAGCAGAAGGCTTCAGTGAGTATCTAGGACAAAGCAGTTTTTCCCTTAGAGAAAACTTCAGTACAGAGGAAGCAAAGCAGCCCAAACCAGCAGAAAACCAGTCCCCTCACACACTGCCCCCCCAGAGGGAAAATCCCCCAGACATCAAGGTCAAGGTAAGCCAACATTGGGTCAAGGACATACTGTTCAGATCAAGGGCACCAGGCCCATTTGGCAATGGGGAGTGTTCAGTATGTTCCGATCAACCCAATGTTAATGACAATTAACTGACAACCTTCAGTTATCAGCCCTATTAGGCTCTAGCTACTGGACTAGGCATTTTGCACAGTTATTACATATCTAATCTTCAAATAACTCCAATGAGGTTAGAACTTTTTGTTTTGTCACCAACAAAGGCAAAAAAGTAAATAAATTTTATAGGGTTAAGTAACTGATCAAATTGCCCAACACCAATAAGTGCAAACCTGAACCATTCATTGTATTACACTGTTTTCAATAATCTCAATTGTCACAACCTACGTGGCTTAGGTCTTGATCTAACTGGGGTGAATGAAGCAACAACATTAGACACACACAAGGAAACGCTGAGGTCATTCCAATGGGCTGTACACTTGGATGGAGCCAGACCAGTAGTGACCTGGAAACTCAGCAAGTTTCTTATATATAGCACAAGCCAGGAGGAAGAGGTCTCCATAGGGAAGTAATCTCCGGCTTCCGCCATCTTGAGGCAGCCATCTTGGGGGTGTGTGTGCAGTTAATACTTTCTGCATACATTGTCAACATCCTTCCAGAGACCATGCGGTGGGGGAATGGGGGCTTTGCCATCCCTATAGGTCTGAAGCATCGGAATCTTTGACATGGCTGTGCTCATCTCGGTATTACACATTCACTCGGGACCTCATCAGCTCCCCACACTCAATTCATTCACTTAATCATCCAACAAATATTTACTATAAATCAAATACTGACTGCCTCATTAAAGACTGTGCTGGCTGGCAAGTTTTCTGTCAAGTTGACATAGGAAGTCAGATGAGAAGAGAGATCCTCAATTGAGGAAATGCCTCCATAAAATCAGGCTGTCGGAAAGCCTGATGGATTTTGTTTTGTTTTTGCCTTGATTAATGTGGGAGTACCTAGCCCGCTGTGGGTGGTGCCACTCCTAGGTACTTAAGAAGGAAGGTTGAGCAAGTTACAAGAAGCAAACCTGAAAGCAGCCCCCTCCATGGCCTCCGCCTCAGCTCCTACCTCCAGGTCTCTACCCTGACTTCCCTGCATGATGAACTACAAACTGTAGACTGAAATAAATCCTTCCCTCCTCAAGCTGCTGTGGTCCTGGCATTTTTAACACAGTAATGAAGCCCTAGCTAATATGAAGAGGACTATAATCTATGACCTCTGCTCTCAAGTTCTCAGGATGAAGAAGCAGTAAATTAATAAACAGATTCCAATGATGTATTGAACAAGTAGATGGAGTCTTTTCTCCAGTGTTGGTTACTGAGCTCAGGGCCTCATACATGGGTCAGCACACTCTACCACCGATCTACAAACTCGGCCTTGAAAAAGCAGCTGCTTGACCTGAGACCCTACTCTAAGGATGACTAATTCAATCTCATTTTGTGGGACTGCGTGAAGAGTGAATGAAATCCAAAGCCTTGGACAGATTCCCATGGTTTTCTCATGAATATTCTTAGAGCAAAAGCCAGCATGGGGTCAGACTGGTTTTCAATTCCGTGGAACACTATAAATGCCAAATGTCCCCATTTGAGGCCACCTCAGTGTAAACAGAAGGCAGTGGTGGGGTAAAGGAGTATGGCTGGCCATCGCTCTCACACCTCTCTGCCTCATGTCTTTCCTACACTGTCTGGGTTCTCCAGACCTGGAGCCAGGAAAGACAGCCAGGTTTCTTACCTGTCAGTCCCTTCCTGGGGATCTGGGAGATGACTTTGCCCGTGGGGGTCCTGGAGATGCATCCTCAGAGGCACCCTACTGGATAGCCTCTTTGTAATAGCCCTTCCCGTGGCTTCTAATTCTCCCCTTCACCAAACCATCTGCCTTGACACCTTCAAACCAGAGCCCAGCTCCTGTCTTGAGCAGGGTTCAAAAATGGCTCCAGGCACTCAGCCCTAAGTGGGAAGTCTTTATTAACCCCCTGCCCTCTGGGCTCAGGGATTCCTGAGAGAGGAGGTAAAAATATGGTAATGGCCAGAGGCAGTGAATGACATCAAGGAAACAGCTTCTTCCTGCCCCAGACAACAGGGCTGATGCTCATGCTATCTCACAGAGACTGTAACAGCACACACAAAACCTGCACGGCCCCAAACCAGGCAAAATCCAGGACTGAGAAGGGAAAGTGGACATAAGATCCCTCTCTTAACCAGGAAGCCATCTGTAATTCATACCTGCCGGAAAGCGGGAAAGCCAGGTTTCTTCAATGAAACATGGAGTGTATCAACCCAGGACAGGCCCCATGCCCAGGAACAGCTGGCGAAGACAAAATAGACTCCCTGGTTTTCCTGGGTGCTTTTCATTTCGTTTGGTTTTGCTGTGTTGTGTTTTTTGACTTTTCATTTTAGGAAGTTTTAGTTTGGTTTCTGTTTTTGCTTTTGAGAGAGAGACAGAGACAGAGACACACAGAGAAAGACACACACACACACACACACAGAGAGAGAGAGAGCATAAAGTTGTGGAGGTAGGGAGGATCTAGGGGGAGTATAGGGAGGGGAAATAATATAATCAAAATGTCTAAGTTTTTTTCATAAAAAGACCTACAGTTGTCTTTAAAAGGCTCTGGGTTATTTTGTTGCATTGATTCTCATACCTGATCGATTCATATCTCTTACAAACTGCTATGAAACCAAATACAGATCATTTCTGGTTAGGAAAAGTTGTCCTCTACTCAGCCAGTGGACAGGTAGGTGGCCCAGCTCTAGCCTTTTACCCTCAGCTTCTCAAGAGCAAAACCATTGGTTATCAATCCCAGTGGGACTTCTGGTTTTATCTCAGATGTCCCTCTTGAAGGTCCCTTCCTTAATGTCTCCTCCCAATCTGTCCTTGTGGGCAGGCAGCAGAGGAAAAATGCACAGCACAGGGTGTCAGAGAAACATCCTCTTTCTGTTCTTCCAGCTTCTTCTACCCTGAGGTAAATCATGAGTTCACAAAACCTCTTTCTGGTTCTTCCAGCTTCTTCTACCCTGAAGTAAATCATGAGTTCACAAAACCAGGCCAGCACCTCTTCTTTAAACCCCAAGCTCTTGTGGTCTAGCCTCTATCTGCCCTTGAAATGCGATTGGACTTGGTACCTGCTTTTCACTCTAAGACACTGGACCCTTAGCATCAGCTGATAATGCCTTCTGTTTCAACAAATAATGATGATGGATCTTGAGAAGTGTTCCATACAGAGACTTCCACTCTCTTGGAAGAGTTTTTTTTTTTTTAAAGTTTAAGGGTAATGTTTGAACTACTTCCCAGGTAGGGGATCCTCTGCTCAAAAGGGTGGAGTTATATCCACAGAGCACACTCAGTGAAGGGCAGTGTGTCACATGACTGCTTGGTGTGAGTTGGCTTGGCTAATGCTGGGGGACGAGCCCTGAAAGCCACGTTGTGTTATAGGAGCCTCAAGTGTCACGCTAAAGAGTTCACCCTGGGGCTGGGGCTGGACTTGCAGCCCAGTGGTAAAGCACTTGCCCAGCATACACTAAATCCTAGGTTCTGTCTCCAGCATCACAAAATAGGACAAGTTTGCCTTTTACTGAGAGGAAGGAGGTCTAGCAAAAGAGAAGTCTGTGAAAGCAGATCTCATGACCAGAGGGAAGGGCAGCAGAAGTAAAGGGAAAGTCTCTGCAGCATGGGCATCGTGCCTCTGCGTCCTTCTGATTGTCTGGAAACACGTCAGCTTCTGGAGCACCGTGGGAACAGAGATTACTCACATGCTCGATGAATTTTCACTAAGGTCATTTCTTATTTTTTAGAAATGTATTTTTACAACACATCACACACATACACACTCAGACATACAAGCACACTCATGCACACACACACACACACACAAGCTCAGACTAATAATTTCAACACAGGGCTTCATCGTCTCAGATAAAGCTTTGGAGTCTCGTTTCTCACCGCACTCACACTTACCTAAATGTTACCTGGGAATCACAGTCTAAATCAGAACAGGTGGACAGGTTGGCTCCATAGCAACAACTTTCCAAATTTCATGCACTTGTTAACATCTGAACTGAGCTCACTAATTCTTTGCTTGTACATGTGGGGGTTTTTGAACAATTATTTGGACATGCTCCCATCCCTGAAGCTAGTTGTTCGCCCACAAAACTACTGCACGTGCGGATCCACACTGTTTTCATGGAAATATGTAAATTGTTATCTCCTGATAGAAAAAAAAAGACCATCTTAAAAGCTCTGAGAAAAAATAGTAGTTAAACCATATAAATCTGAGTGGGCATATTCAACCTGGTTCCTCTTTGAAAGATCATTCAGTGTGATCCACCCTTGGAGGCCAGGGAGCTCCTTCCCATTATTGTCCCAGCCTTGTATTTCCTTACTTCCATTCCCTATTATATATGATGCTGTCTTCACCCAACATCATCATCATAGTCACATTTTCAATGGGATTGAGATTCTTCTTAATTAAACATGAAGTAATTTCCAATGTTCAGATTTCAGTAGAAGACACCTCCAAATGTCCTTCCTTTCCCCCAGATCAGTATTGATCACAAAGCCATTCACCACATGACCAAAGGCACCTAAAAGGAGGACACAAAGTCTGCTACCATCCTAAAGAAAATGCGCATGACTGGTTTCCTTGACACCCACACCTCACAGCACTCCCAAAAGGGCCAAGTCAGACACTCTCTCGGTGTCTCCTGAGCTCCATGTCTGGCCCACCAGCACACAGAAGGCCTTCAACAAAGTTCATTATCTTATTGACTTTCATGCAAGGATAGTCAAGACCTATTAGAAAGCCTGTCACAGACACTCTGAAGATAATAGTAGTAGTAGTGGTTTTCTA